TGCCCGAGAAGACGGAGCTCCCGGTGAGGTGCTGGTAGGACAGCACAGGGCACGTGTCCTTGTCCTCGTGGCATGGCCGAGGCCAGAGGACCAAAGGCTCTGAAGGCTGGTCTGGGTTCCAGAAAGTTTTTGGAGCTGCTCTTTCACTTCCATAGGACACTGTGGCGGCCGCAGCTCCAGGAGCCTGAGTGTGCTCACGGCTGCCTGGCCCACTTCTCGCCTGGTGAGCTCCCCCAAAACCCAGAAGCTTCCTCCCAACACCTCTGTCAAACTCCCAGCTCCTCCAATCCGTCCCTCCCGGGCCTGTTGGTCCTCCAATCTGCAGAATGCATCTCCTCTAGCCTGGGGCTCCTGGGCACTGTACAGCCCCCACCCCCATCCTTCCTGCTCCCTCTTACAGACCGGCCCAGGGTCTCCAGAGGGAGACTGACCAGCTGCAGGAGATGGTGGGCTCCATAGAGCTACATCACCGGCCAGCGGCCAGGGCCCCGTCGGCACAGGGACAGGCATGGCGGCTGCACTAGGGAAGGAGGGAGGAAGGGAACTTAGCCCAGCGCAGATGCTTCTCAGTCTCTCCTGGGGGCACCGAAGCCCGTGGGGCCTGCACTCCCTTCCTCTCACGTAGTGCGGTGCCCACACTGCTCCCACCGCTGTCTCAGTTCACTCTCCCCAGCTTTTTGGTTCAGTAGAGACGCAAAGCGGTTGCTCACAGGCTCTGCATCAGCATTCCTGAGCCCAAGGACATCCACACCGCACCCGTCAACCTCTCCAGACAACAGCAGCCTCACGGGAGTGGCGCCCCCTCTTTCCCGGGCCTCTCCCCTCCTCCTCACTGGCCCATCCTTCCATTTTCATTCCAAGTTTTGCTCGCACACAGCTTCCTGGCAAAGCCCTGGCTCCACAGTCCGTCCCCAGCTCTGAGGTGCCTCCCCTTCTGTTCTGCTCACTCCACCAGCCGACCTGGGATGCTCCCGACCACAGAACAGTCCCGCCTTCTAGAAGCTGCTGAGAAGGCCAGACCCTCAGATTCCTCACAGTTGAAGTTCTAGCCAATTCTGGGGCTTTCTTCACTCAGGGCCCTCAGAGCTTGGGGTTCAAGAGAAACGGCGGGAGGAGACTGCCAGACGGAGGCGCCGGGGACCCTGGGACCTTGGCGAGGTCTGTTACCCCGGGGCCCGGCGAGCCTCATGCCGGCGGGCAGCTCAGGCTCGGCTCGGGGCCTCAGACGCTCAGCTGCCACATCTCCCTCCTTTCCCCGGGGCCCCACTCCCTCCTCCTCCAAAGGCTTCTGTATGCGAAGCTGCTGGGCTCCAGGCTGATCTGGAGCATTAACAACCTGCACAGACAAACCCAGCACCTGCGGGCTGCGCTGCGCCTCTGGTCCAGGGTCTGCAGCTGCCAGCACCGCCTGGCCCGACACACTGGCCTGGAGAGGGCCGGCGCTGGGCCCAGAGGTGGGGCCAGAGGAAAGGGAGCCACGGTTCCCGAGAGCCTGCAGCACTCGCTGCCCCTCGTGCAGTCACGGTGTGGTGTGACGTGGACAGTCGTTCTCTGGAAGACAGGAAACGGGAGGAGGAGCTCCTCTGGGAACGGGTGGCCCCACTTTCTGAGGTCAAAGTTCTCTCCCAGCCTGAGGCTCTGGGGTGGCAAACAGGATGGCGCTATCCCATGCAGACATTCCTGCTCTGAAGAGGAAGAGGTGAGGAGCTTTAATCCACAGGGAAATGCAGAAGGGGGAGCATGAGGAGGACAACTCAGCCAGACAGGCCCCTGCCCCTTCTCCCTTAGGCCAGAGCCGCAGCAGGACAGACAGCGTGCGCGGGGGGTGGGGGGGTGGGGAGCAGAGATGGTCCTCAGACCACCGTCTCATCAGCGAGGGCACGGCCCCATCCCCCACTCTGCTCCTGGGACCACGAGGTCACCCAGCCAGGTGGGCTCCAGAGAAGGCCCAGTCTCTGGCCCCGGGCACCTAACTCAGAGGCTGCAGCTGCCGTGGGGGTTCGGGCGCCTCAGCCCACAGTGATGCTGAAGCCACAGTGGAACCTGTTGCGCCAGTGGTTGAGGAAGGCCCCCAGGGCGAGGGTGACGGGCAGCGGGGGCATCTTCTTCTCCAGCACAGCGCCCACACACCAGTTACTGTCCACCACGCCTGCAGCAGGAGATGCGGGCCAGGTTAGGTACCCGGCTCCCTGCCCCCTACCTGCCCCCCATCCCACAACACCTCCGCGTGTGGTCTCAATCATCCTCACCTCTAAACACCATGTTGGCCTGCGGCAGAGTCAGGTGGTAACCAAAGGAGAAGGTTGTGTCTTGTAGCCTGGTGTTTGCCTCAAACTCCACACCAACCTGAACCTGAGGATGGGAGAGGGTCTGTCTCTGTAGAGACTGCGGGGTCCTGACGGGCCAGCAGGAGGAGGCACGCGGGAAATGTATGGGAAGCGCAGGCGGGAAGACAGCCGGTCAGCAGGGCCTGTGGCCGCCCAGGGTGGGCAAAAGTTCACGAGTGACATGCGGGTGGGGGTGGGACCAGTCGTCTCACCTGCTCGTTTGCCCTGTGGTAATAACTGGCATGGGCCCCACCTGATCCCACATTCAACGTAGCTACCCAGTGCACAGCTGTGAAAAGCAGAGGCGGGGGACAGGAGCATTACTGCTTGGACACAGGCCAGGGACCCAGCCAAGTCCAGAATTCCCCTCCCTCTCGCCCTCTCATCATACCGGAGTACTTCCCCGCCAGTGTCAAGATGGCCCCCTCCTCGCCTGGCCGCCGGTGATACACTAACTCTCCCCCCAACACCAGCCGGTGTGTGAGGCTCTGCAGGAAGTGAGCGACCAGGATCACTGGGAGTGGGAGACACAGAGTGAGGCCTAGAGACAGCACCCAGCCTGCCTCCCCCGCAAGGACCCCCCGGGCCTGCCCAGAGGTTCTTCTCTGATCCCTGAACTGGACAGATGATGCAGAGGATTGCCAACAGCAGCAGGTGGGCAGCCAATAAAAAAAACCCTGTCCCACTTCTCACCCGATTCCCCAATCAAGTCAGGATTTCCGAGGGTCAGAGTCGCTGTGTAGTCATCTCCCCGGTACTCGCCGTCAAACTGCCAGGTCAGGAACTTGGACTGCTGCGTCTGAGATGGAGCGCGAGGAGTAAGATCTCCCTCCCTCTCTGCCATCACTGTTGCCTCTGCTCCTCCCCCTGGGGCCCTGGAGCAGGACATTCATGGGGAAAGAAGCCCTTGGATGGAGGCAGGAGCCATGAGTCACCTGGAAGACAGCCTTGGCTCGGAGCCGCTCTGCCAAGAGGAGCAGGACCTGGGCGTTGAGGCTGCCGCTGCTGTCCCAGTCACCTACCACAGTGGGGAAAACCTGTTGAAGAGCTGGACAGTCAGACTCAGCTGGGCTAGGGTTCCACTCAGCCTCAAGCCACAGACGATGGGCTTTCTTTAACAGCACCCAGCGCCCCCTAGTGGGGCCACAAAGGAAAACTCCCACTCCATCACAGTGTCCCTCCTCGCTCCCATTCAGAAGAAACCCAGGGAAACAAGCAGGCGCCCTCCCGGTAACAGACACCTTTCCTCCTGCTCTAGGCGGGCTTTTAGAGAGATGGCCAGGTGTGTGGAGCCCTCACCTCAGTGGGGCTAAGTTGCCAGTCCCCTGCATAGGCCGCGTGGAGGTGATAGCCAGGCAGGCCCAGCGCGCTCAGGTGCACAGTGTGAGCCACCTGCGGGAGAGAAGCCAGTGGAGGAGCGCATTCCTGCTGCATCAGTCCCCATCTCACCCTCCATCCCGCCCATCCAGGCCTTCAAGAATCCCAACTATCCAACACACACTGAGGGCCACCTGACTAAAAGCAACAAGTCCCACCAGCAAGGGCGTCAGAGCCGGCTCCTCCCTCCTCTATCCCGCAGCCTGGCCGGGCAGGAGCAGAGGAAGGAGAGGGTGGGGCCGGGCAGGAGGCGCAGTGAGGAGGGGCCAGAGAAGTGGGAGCACCTGGAAATGGCTGCTCAGAACCTTGTTGACCACGAGCTTCACGCCCTCCATCTGTCCTGGGAAGACATCTGAAGGTGGGAGGGAGGGAGGGAGGGGAGGAGTGAGCACAGAGGGGAGCCCCGACCCCAAGAAGCCGTCCCCGTGCGCGCCACAGCCAGCGCTTTGGAGGAACTGACCTCCTTTCCGGTTCTGCAACAAAATGCTCCATCCATTGCGGTACCTGGGCCTCCCTGAGGCCGGAAGCCCGGCGCGATCGCCCTTTCCTGCTCCCATCTCTGCGCGCCCGCCCCCCGGCCCCTTCCGCGCGAGACACGCGAGTCCCAGCCTCACCTTTGCACAGGCGGTGCAGTTCATCGAAGCTCCCGGGGTTGGGCAGGGGTTCCTCTCGACGGGGGCTCCGGCGGGGCAAAGCCGCCAGCGGAGCCAGGCCCAACGTGTTCCCCATTTCAGGCCACAGGACGGGGAGGGCCGGGGTGAGCTGGGAAGGATGCTCTTCCTCCCTCTACCCCCCGCGGGCCCCACCCCCCATCCTCCGGCTCCCCAGCCCCCGAAACTTCCACATGGTCCGACGCTAGGCCTGGAACGAGAAGAGCGGGGGCGAGGGCACCGGGCGGGCGCTGCATCGCGGGCACAGTCCCGTCGCACCTTTGGCCCCACAGCCCACCCGTCACCCATCTCTAACCCCAGCCCCCCACGCCTCCCCCGCTTCCTACTCTCCCTCCCGAGGCCCCGGGGCGAGGTTCGCCACGTAGCGGTCGCCTTACCGCCTCAGACCTCCGTGCTGCCCCCTTCCCCCCGGCACACCCCGGTCATCTTGATGGGGGCAGCCATCTTGAGTGATGGCAGGACTGCGGCTTCACGCTGCTGTCTCCGCGTGGTCATGAGCACCATCTTGGAACCGGGCAAAAAGAAGCTTTTAAAGATCCGACCCTCCCTGGACTGGGCCCCGCCCAATCTATTAAAAATAAGCGGCCTTGATCTCCCTGGGGCCAATGAGAGAGGAGGAAGCAGAGGAGTGGCAGGCGTCGCGTCCAGAGAGCTCCAGCCTTGGAGCTGCGGAGGCGGGGCTTGCGGGCAGCTCCCGAGACCGACTCGGAGCTGATTGGCTCGGTCCGCGGCCTCCAGGTCGGGGCGTGGGAGCGCGCGGGACGCTGGAGGGAGCATCGTGGAGCCTGGGCCGTCGAAGCTCCCTCCGCCAGACAGCGTGGGGACCGGCCTTGGAGAAGAGGGCGGAGGGAACTACGGGGAAGACTTATTTTCCACCCGGTTCAGTCGCCCTCGGCGCCCCCCACCCCCCCAGGATCGCCTGGGCTCCTCCTCCCAGGCCTCCGCGACGCTCTGCAAATGCGAGCTGCTCGCCGCACAGCTGCCCTAGGACGCGCTCCTGCCTCCCTCTCGGAATGGGACCGCGTGTGAGCGCCTGGGGTGTGGAGGAGCAGGGGCTGCAGCCTCCATTCCAGCAGATCCGGCTCCTGAAACACCTGCCCCTGTAATTAATCAATCCTTCCTTCCCTGATTCCCCAGGCAAAGCTAGAAAATAAAATCCCGGAATATGGGCCCCGCCCCCAAGTGCGCTCCACTCCAGGCCAGGCGGGAGTCAGTGGGGTGCCTTCCAGCACTGGGGGCTCCACAGGGAAATGGGAGCCCTCGCTGGGCCTCGCATCTCCACCCCCAACTCCCAGGAATGTCCTGCCTACACTTTGATGGCAAAAAGGTGAAAGATGCAAATGCTGCTGATACCTATTCAGCTGACTTCACCCAAATGCCTTGGGAATTTCCTCCCTCCCTGCTATCTGGGCAGAGGGGTGCTGTGGCCCCTGCTGACTCACTTTTGCTGGCTACCACCTCGCCCTAATAAGGTGATCCAATGACCAGGGACCTTCAACTTTTACTCTTTAACCTGAACCTCTTTTCCTACCAGAGGCTGCTTTCTGACTTTGGAGGTAGGGTGTGATCATTGGTCAACATGTTTTCAACCTTGTCTCATCACCCATTAACTGAGGAAGGGACAAGCAAATCACCTGCCCCCTGACCCTCATCCCTACCCCTAATTTCAACTCCTTTCTCCTTTCTTCTGTTCCCTAAAATCTCTTGCAAGTTGCAGTGAAGGGGGGCGCGGGCGTAGAGTTGGGGAGTGGTCCTAATGGGACAGAGTTACTGAGGGCTGAGGGTTGATGTGTCAGAGCTTCCAGAGAAACATAGCACTCTGACTTCCTGCAGCGCGGACCTAGGGACTGCTGCCCCAGACCCCAACAGAGCGAACCTCTAGTAGGCCTACAGGACACCCTGCCTCCATGAAGGCCTGCACCAGGCGTCCCCCATGCACTTGTCCCCTCCTCCCCATCTCTCCAACGTGTTTACTCCAACATGGTCCACCCCAATGTCCCTCCACAGTCCTTGTCACCTGACAGGGGGGTGGGGAAGCAGGCAGATACATGGGCCCTGCCTCCCCAGCCAGGCCAGGCATAGGCGCAAGGACAGAGGCACTGACCAGGTAGGAAGCAGCAGTTGTGGGGAGGGGAGGGACCCGGTTGGAGTGGACACCTTGGAAGGGTCCCTGGGAAGGGGCTGAAGCCCACCCAGCTTCAGTGTCGCCCCACCTCCATCTGTTCCCAGGCCACCTCCCCATATCACCACCATGAAGCTGCTTGTAGTGGCGGTGCTGCTCCTCACCATCTCTGGCCTCGAAGGTGGGTGTGGAGTGGAGGGGGGTCCCAAGAAGAAGGCGGTAGGGGTCCTGGCTGCCCATCTGTCAGTTCTGTGCCCAGATCTGGCAACCCCAAGGCTCAAAATGAAGACCATTCCCCCTCTAAAGCCCAGAAAGCCCATCCAAAGACCTGGAGTGGGAGGCCTGTTTGGGCTGGGCACTGGCAGTGGTGTCGCCAGAGGCCAGGACCAGTGGTTCTCAACCTTCTGGCCCTTTAAATACAGTTCCTCATGTTGTGACCCAACCATAAAATTATTTTCGTTGCTACTTCATAACTGTAATGTTGCTACCGTTATGAATCGTCATGTAAATATCTGATATGCAGGATGGTCTTAGGCAACTCCTGTGAAAGGGTCATTCCACCGCCAAAGGGGTCACGACCCACAGGTTGAGAACCGCTGGCCAGGACTCAGTATTGGGGACCAGCTAAAAAGGGGGGTGTTTCTGTGTGCCCAGTAGCCTTGGTCCGGAGGCAGGCAGAGGAGACGAGCCTGCAAAGCCTGTTCTCAGTACCTGCAAACCGTGACCGACTATGGCAAGGACCTGGTTGAGAAGGTCAAGGGCCCAGAGGTCCGGGCCCAGGCCAAGTAAGTCTCAGCAAGGGGGGTTCAGGGCCCACAGAAGACTGAGCTCGGGGTGGAGATTGGGGAAATGGAGCTCTGAACTGGAGAAAACAACTGCCTCATCCCTGCAGGCCCACGGGCCTGTGGACAGATGGGCCCAGCAGCTGGGTTGTGGGTTTCTGTCTCCGGCTGTGCTCCCTCCCAGCGGAGGGAGGGCTGCCTCTCCTCCTGGAGCTGTGCCGTGCCAGCAGGACCAGCACTGAGCTGGGGGGCTTGGGCCCACCTCCCACACCACCAAGGCCTCTGCCAGTGCCTTGGTTCCTTACACTGACCTCTAACCCTCATATGTCCAGGGCTTACTTGGAGAACACACGTGAGCAGCTGACACCCCTGGTCAAGAAGGCTGGGAATGAGCTGATGAGCTTCCTCAATTACTTCGTGGTATCCCAATCACCGTCGGATGCCCAGCCACCCCAAGCTGGCCCCTAGGACACGTCTGGCTGGCCTCCAGCGCCCTCTGTCCCCACACCTTGCTTCTACAATAAATAGTAAAGGAGTCCATGGTGAGTTTTTTGAGGATGGGAGAGGAAGACAGAAGTCCAGGAGGAGGAGGCGGCTTGGGTGTGAAGGGTGGAGAAAGGGTCCAAGAGACAAATGTGGGAAATGGCAGAGTGGGCACCGCGGAGTCTCCTCCAGGCCCAGAACGGCTCTGAGGAGATGAAGAGCCATTCCATGGCCCTGGCTTGTTTGGCTCAGTGGATAGAGCGTCGGCCTGCGGACTGAAAGGTCCCAGGTTCAATTCCTGGTCAAAGGCACATGCCTGGGTTGCGGGCTCGATCCCCAGTGTGGGGTGTGCAGGAGGCAGCTGATCCCATGATTCTCTCTCATCATTAATGTTTCTATCTCTCCCTCTCACTTCCTCTCTGAAATCAATAAAAATATATTAAAAAAAAAAAAAAAAAGAACCTTTGCATGGACGAGGGCCTGAGAAAGGCATGAGACTCAGAGACTCATGCTGGATTCCTGGCCTCGGGCAGGCACAGGAAACGAGGCCTCCCTCAGAAGCTCCTCACCATCATCCTATGACAGTGATGGCGAACCTATGACACGTGTGTCAGAGGTGACACGCAAACTCATTTTTTTGGTTGATTTTTCTTTGTTAAATGGCATTTAAATATATAAAATAAATATCAAAAATATAAGTCTTTGTTTTACTATGGTTGCAAAGATCAAAAAAATTCTATATGTGACACGGCACCAGAGTTAAGTTAGGGTTTTTCAAAATGCTGACACGCCGAGCTCAAAAGGTTCGCCATCACTGTCCTATGAAGAGGGGAAAGCTTCCAAAAAGCGAACCCAGAGATGTCCCCCAAGGCCCTCCCTCCCCTTCCGAGCCGGGGAACACTGCCTGCTTCCCCCCCGCCCCCCCCAGCCTACAGTAAAAGGTGCGGCTCACTCTCCCCACACTGCTCTCACCTGAACTCCTATCTGGGGACACCTTTCCACACCCTCCTCTCTTATCTGGGTGCTGTCACAGCCCTGGCCCAGCGGCCATTGGAGAGCCTGGAACCAGCAGACACCACAGCCAGTTCAAGGCCTGGCAAGCTCCCGTTGGGTGGACATGTGGGACTAGAGATGCTGGGAGCCATGATGCCTGGATTAAATCCCAGCAGAACAGAAAGCGGGCTGGGTGGGTGTGCAAGGCGAGGGAAACGGAGGCATTGTCGGAAACGTATGCCCACCTGACCTCTCAGGTCAGACAGGTGCTTCCCCTCCCCGGCGCGTTTCCCATGTCCCATCTGAAATTGCCTTCAGGTGAGGCTCCAGTTTCTTCTGCATATTGCTGACCCTCAGCCCTCATGGCCCCCTTCCTCCCCTTCTTTCCCAGGACCTGGGGTGTCTCCTGTGCTAAAGTGTACAGGGACAGACCGCAGTCTGTCACTTGTAGGACAACCTAGTTTAACTTGACAGGTGAAACTACAAAGAGCTGGATACTCACAGGGTTAGTGAGCAGAGCAAGTGGTACAAGGAGTTGGAAAAATGCGTTGACAAGTGTGAGTCACTGTGAGAGGAAAGAACTGCCAGCCTGGGTGGCCTGGGCACAGAGCAGAGACCTATCTGAGAGGGCTGCTGGGTCTGGGGCAGGACGGGCCGCAGCAGATGGGATGCGAAGACTTCCAGCCCTGGCCGGTGTGGCCCTGTTGGTTGGAGCATCATCCCATACGCTGGAAGGTGGAGGGTTTCTTAGGGCACATACCTAGGGGCAACCGATCAATGTTTCTCTTTCTCTCTCTCTCAAAGAAAGAAAGAACCCCTGATCAGTGTTCTCAGTTGTTAGAGCGCCAGCCCATGCACTAAAGGGTCACGGGCTCAATTCCCAGTCAAGGGCATGTACCTGGGTTGCAGATTCGATCCCTGGGGTCAGGGCACATACAGGCGACTGATGCTTCTCTCTCTCTCTGAAAACAACAACATACTTCCTGGGAATCCGGCCTCCTGCTGGAAACTGCACAGGCCTGAGGGGGTTCCTTCACCGCCCACCTATGCATTCAAGGAGCTCCCCGCCCCCATCAGGACCCAACTTGTCCCCTTTGTCTTGCCCACATCCAATCCCTCCCTGTTCCACTAAGGCCCCTCTTGCCCCAGGACCTGCTGAGAACCCACTGTCCCCTGCAACCTTCCCTGAGGAGCGGCAGAGCCTTCCTCACATCGCCCCTCCTGACGCTGGGCTTTTGGCCAGGCTGCGCCATGGACCCTGAGCTGTCCCACAGACTCTGACCCCACTGTGATTGGATTGGTCACTCTCTGAGGCTGGGCAGCCAGGCTTTCCCACAGCCCAGAAGTCACTTCTTAGGTTCGAATATCTCTGAATGTGCCCAGAATCCCAACACGGAAGACCCTGCTTCTGCTCAAACTAGAGGCCTGGGGCCAGGGGTCTCCTTTGTCCCCTCACAGCAGCATTTGCCCTTCAGTTGAGCAAAACAGCCTGGCGTTGGACACTGAGCTCTGGGAGTCAGGCGTGGGCCTCTGCCTTGCTCCCACTGGCTCTGCAGTCCCAGCCAGAGCCTTGCAGAGGCTACGTGTCCAAGGAAGGAAGCAAGGAGTGGAGCCCAGTCTGAGGCAGCTTTATTGGTGCTGCTCCCGTCCCATTGCCTGGTGGGAACTGGGAGGAGGGGGGAGGGGGAGGTCAGGGGAGACTAGAATACGCACATTAATGAGCAGGATCTGAGCACAGGCCTTGGGCAGGGAGGAGGAACCAATGGGTCCATTCATGGGGGCATAGCATCTTTACAGGGGAGGTCTGTGGGCATTAATGGCGGGAGGCATATGTGGTGTCAACCATGGGACTGGGCGGGAACTGGAGCAGAAGGAGGACGTGACCAAGGGCATCTGTTCTAGTTACTCTGTTGGTTTCTGATGCTTCAGGGTCTCATAAGTCTCCTGGTTCCGGGGGCTCAGGCCCTGGAGGTGAAGGTCAGAGGACAGTCAGGAGCTTGAATCCCTCCACGGCTCCCACTAACCCCCACAGACCCTGCCCTTCCAAAAGTCACTCAAAATCCACCCTCCTCTGCTGACGTCCTGGGATTGGGGGTGGGCGGGGCCAACGCACTCACCGTGTAAATGCCATCTGATTTCTGTGGAGGCAAAGGAGCAACTTGTCAGAGACCCACACATCCTCTAGGGCTCCCCAGCATCTTCTTCCGCACCCAGGGACATATCAGCCAGGGGTGGGACTTGTCACCAGTGATTTGGCTGGGTGGCAGGGTGGGTAGGGTGAGGTGGGAAGTGGGTCTCTGAAGCTTATGCAGGTCAACACCTGAGATTCACCTCCCAGGGGCTGCAGACCCCAAGGCTATAGCCCAGAAGGGCTGAGTCTGCAAAATTGTTGATACCCGGGTGTGGGGAGGGGGTTCCATACCTGATAGGCTACAGCTGCCTTTCGCACCTGTATCTGGAGTAGAGGAAGGTCATTAGTAAGAGCAATGTTAGTGGCCCATCCCCCTTCCCTCCAAACTTGGTGGGTTTCTCCTCAAAGCCATGCTGCCACCACTGCCCCACCCACCTGCCCAGCCTCACCTTGAGTCGACAGTAGAGCAGGGTTAGGATGATCCCGTACAGAAACAGGATTGCATCCAGGATGTAGCAGATCTGAGGCTCTCCCAGGGCCTCTGAGGGGAGAGAGGGTGCCCATGGGGAGGGCGTCAGGGAAGGGAGGGCCCTGGGAGGGAGGCCGGGCCTGAGGGTGCTCTGCAGGGAAGCTCGCTCTTTCTCTGGATTCCTCTCCTCAGCCCCAGACTTTCCTGCGAGCACTGGGGCTCCTCAGGCTTGGCTGAGCACTTCATAGCCCTCAAGGGACTCATCTGAGTTCACTGGGCAAAAACCAAAACCTCAGCCTGGAGGGCAGGGCGCGGGGAAGGCAGTGACAAATGTCAGTGAAGAAACCACAGCAGTGTCTCTGCTCAGTCCTGTGACCTGTGGCTGAGAGCTGGACAGGAAGGGTGTGAGCTGGGGAAGGGCGGGAAGGCCATTACTGCTGTTGGTCATCTGGCCTCGGCGCACGCTGCTCTGCCCACCAGACACTTGGGCATGTAAAAGCCAGGCAGCTGCTTCCCCGGCTCAGGGATGCCCCGCCCAGCACAGTCTCCCAGGGAAGGCCCTGCTGAGATTCCGTCTCGGGGACAGGGTGTCTCTGTGGGACTCTACCCTGTTCCTCACACCCTGGCCACTGAGAGGAAGTTTGTGCAATTAAAGAAGTAAAATAGGGTCTGAGCTCCTATCTGCCCCATCACCCTGGCCGCTGTCACATGGGCTCCCGGGCTGTGACTTTTATTCTGCGAAGACGTCTTTCACACTCCCTGTTGCACAAATCTCAAGGCTGCCCTGTTTGGGAAACGCCGTCGCCATCTCACCGCTGACAAAACCGAGGCCCAAGGAAGCGAAGCAGCTCCCTCAGGGCACAGTCAGGACACTGGCAGCAAAGCCGAGCTTTCCGCCCTCAGCTGGTGCCCGCCCAGGCCTCAGCGGCGCTCCCATCGCCCGGCTGCTCTCAGACCCTTCCACCTTCATAGCTGGGTTGGTGCAACCTTCCTTCCATCTTTCAATTTCCCCAAATTCCCTTCAGTTTCACTAACCCTGTTCCCCCCAAACTGCAGCCACAACCATCCATCTTGTAAACATTCACACAAGACAACCCTGAGAGGGAGAGGCCAGAGTTCATAAACTGACCGCGGAGCCTTTCCCATTCCTGCCCAGTTCCCCGAGGAGGCTCAGGTCTCTAGATGCTCACACTGCCCACCCTCCACTGCGGCTGCCGGGAGGTGCATGTCAGCCATGACACACGGAAGCAGCAATCACATCTGCTTGGCTAGCCTGGCCTCCCTCCCACGCACGAGGCCAGGCCTCTGCTCCCACAGGCACTTGACAGATACCACTTAGGCAGCTGGAGGCCAGCTCCTCCTGGACAAGACCAAAGGCCCCACAGGAAACCAGCCCATTTTGTGTGTCACACCCTCCCTCCCTGCCAGCTGCAGC